ATGGCCCTTTAACTTCAAAGGCGTGTAATGTAGTGTCGGAGTTATGCAAGGATACATACGACCGTCCAAAAATTGGGGCCCCTTCGTGAGAGTCCTCAGAATACGAATTCCAAGGAAACTGAGATCCACCTGTTTGATGGACCGGTCGGTCAGAACACTCTGAACTCTAAAATTCCTGACATGTGGGGCTGCCCATACACACCCCAACACAGTATAATACGTAATCCTCACTAGAAGTATCTCTCCCCCAAGAGACCCCTAATCGATGGAAAGCTCCATATTGTTTTCTGGCTTTGGCCTGACGCGCAAGTGGCAAAACGCCTCTAACTTTCCCTAGGTCCGACACTCATCCGCAAACCTGCGCCAAGGTCGGTTAAGCCTGATCTCTGCTCCATCAAGCCTTGTCCCCGCCCTAACTACAAAAACCCTATATCGAAAGAGTTGCCATTTCCCCTTTCATGTTTTTTTTCACTGGAATTCCATCAAACATCGATCCAACTGCTATGCCCTTAGCTGCATGCTGCCAAGGTTTGGGATCGAGGGTTTTTAGGGTATGGGCGGGATACTGCCCCCGCTCAGTAGGAATTGGATAGCATTGGAAATACGATTGCATGAAGCCACGATTCTTACGCCGATTCTAGACTGTCGCTGGGTGGAGGCAACACCCAAGCTATTAGTTCTTTTTGAATGATGAAAGACTACACCATTCATTTTCCTTCAGATTCCCCACCATTGGGATTATATATCCGTACAGATCCTTTATACCCCATATGTTTGCAAAGTGGTACCCGAGGCCTTATGTATCCCTTGCAGAACCCTTATATCTCATATAACGGTACCCCTAATTTTCGCGGAAACCTCCATAATATGTTCACAGAATGGTTTAACCCTAAACTCTAAACCCTAAATTCTAAACCCTAAGCCCAAAGCTCTAAACCCTAACCCCCATCCCTAAATGGTTTAACACTCCTTTTGCACCCTTGGCTCCAAGAAAGCTCGGGGTGCTCTGTGTCGGGCTACAGCCGCACGAGGCTGCTCCAAAGCAGCCCAGCAGCGATCCAGAGTGATGTATAGGGGCCTTATAGGGTTTGGGGATGAGTTCAGGGTTTAAGGTTTGGGGTTTAGGGTTGAGGGTTTAGGGTGCTATATAGGGAACTTTCAAGGGGGACATAATGCTTGTATATGGTTTCTCAAAATTAGGGGTACCTTTAAAGGGGGATATGGGGTTATAGAGTGATGTATAGGGACCTTTAAAAGGGGGTAGGGTTTGGGGTTTAGGGTTTAGGGTATAGAGACTTTTATGCGGAGATATAGGGGTTAAAGGGGTTATATCGGTATATTTAGGGTTTAGGGATTTTTAAGGGCGGGGACATAGGGGTTATATACAGATATATCAGGAAATATAGGGTTTAGGGTGCAGGGATGTTATCCCCAACAATGGAGAATCGAATGGAAAAGAAATTGCAAAATGAAATGGACACTGGGAGTATAGAGTTGCAGAGATCAGGGTTCCCCCAAACATAGGGGTAACTTCAAAGTAATATAGAGGTTATATAGGGATATATAGGGTTTGGGGTTGAGGCCTTATAAGGTTTACCAAAATTAGAGATACCTTTTTGGGGGATCCCTACAATAAGATTTATAGTAATGGAGGGGTCTATATTGGGGTTCCCCTTGTGTTGGTAAACTACCATTATAGGGTTATTGGGGTTTCGGTTTAGGATTTATATAGGGATGATAATGTGTTGATACTGGAAATCCTCCAGAAAATGTGTAAAATGAAGAATCGAGTGACATGGAATTTTTCAGCCATGTAGTTACCACGCTAGATACCGTTGAGACTGGAACTCCTGCATGACCTTTGTATGGTAAAATACCAGAATTGCCAAGTTACAAGGTACGAGGATCAGACAGGACTTTTAGTCTCAAACGTGTTTTTTAGTGCTAGCTGCTGCCATGCCACGGGTGTTGAGCAAACCCAACCCCCCAAAATAGGACCCCATTATCGTCATATGATGTTTGCTGTTGGGCTCATTGTTGGATGCACTTTGTCCAGTCTTGCATTCGGCTAGAACCCAGCAAGAAACGTGAAGCTACAGTTCAGCCATATCCCAAAAAGAAATCAGATACGTACTGGCTATTGATAACAGCAGCACCGAGAAGCAACTTAGAATGATTTAAAACGTGCGGCAAAGAGACAGACGCAGGAGAGTGGCTGTACGCAGTCACGGCTGCACTACTACGTGTGTTGAGATATTAGAAAACTGCAATTTTGGAGCGGTCCGGGCGGCAAATAGCACTTCATCAGAAATTGCAGCGCGACAGTCATTCTTTGAGAAAACAGCAAAACACACAACAGGTACAATTTAAACTGAATTGGCCAGAATTTCTGAGCTCAGGACATGTGAGGGGCTCTATTCTCCGGGGTCTTCAAGGTAAAGTAGACCCCGGCATCACCCAAGAAGCAGCGCTGGTCCGCTAGCCTCTGATAGTCCTAGCAGCTGGCATTCTGCAGGGAACCTGGTGAAGAGCTTACAGCCAGGTATGTCTCAGACGCAAAAGGAATTGCGCGCTGCAGCTACGATGAAGTAGTAGCGCATGATCAAGAGACCCCACAACAGCTTACAATGTGTACCGACGAGCGCTCTGCGGCCGCAGTCCTCGGTTTTGGTCATTTTGTGTCCCAAGTCTTGATCAAAGCGTCAGCGCCCTTGCGCTGAACCCGTGTCGGCCCTAGGCCTCCAAATCTTAAAACCTCAGAATCCCTGAGCAGTAGCCCTCTAAGGCTAGAAGCAGGAAGCCCTCAACTCCCAACCCCACTATAATAGACTGTTATTACTATTGTTACTATTCCTATAATCATGCCGTGCCTGGAAATGATGTGTCTCTGAGGAGATGGCGGGATTTCGCGAGATGAAGAGACCAGGTAGGGCTGGGCCTTCAGAGGGCAGTTCTTATGATGATGATTATTATCAATAGTGTATTCTGAGTAGATTGTACTATCTTCTAGGTTCCCAAACCTTCAGAGGCATCGATGTGAGCCATACTCTAAACTCCTGCATACTCTAAAGGCTTTCTGGGGGGTTATATAAGGGGTTATACAGGGAACTGCTTGAGGGTCAGTAAGACGGATACTTGGATTTTAGACTCTGTCTCATGTGAAGTAGGGTCATCTAGAACATGAAGTGAGTGTATGGTGGTTTATGGGTGATTGGGGTGTGTGAAGTACGGTTTCATAAAAGGTTTTGGTAAGCGTATATACGGTTCCCGGAGAATTTTGGTCAGCATGTAAACCCTAAACCTTAGGGAGACCGCAAATTCAAACCATAGGCTATATATATAGCGCGCACACTGCGGGTCCAAAGGGGTTCCTGCATGAGTATTCTTCAGGGTTTGGGGTTTAGGGAATATACGCCTGAGTATAACACGTGTACGCACCTTTCGGGTTCTGCCCCTACCATTCGCAACACCTTTGTTGGAGACACCTTGTTCAGTTCTCTGATTCCGGGTCACTGAGGCTAGGCTTGAGCCTCCTCCAAACAAACATAGGGGCCTAAATGAAAATGACTGCCAATATTGTGTTTCTAGATTCCTTGTATAATTAAAGGTACCACAGATAGAATCAGAATTGGTTTTAGTATACATTTGCTATCACATAGGCCTCTACATTAGGCTACTGTCGCGTTAGAAGGCGGTTACATAGGCTTGCTGGTTATTTTGTTGGAGACTAGGAACGCATGAATGGAGAACCAAAAGGAAGCTACTAGACTATTGTGAAGACAATATTATCCCAAAAAAAGGACCCCAATGTACTAGAATTCTTTTCTGGGGATCCCCAAAATGTACCCTTTATTTTGGGAACCCCCATATGGGGCTACTGTAAAGGATCCATTGCTCAATGCCCTTGTCAAAACCAGCCACTCGTGTACACGTAAGTAGTATTTCATTTGGGCATAGTCTGGACAGAATATATAGAGTAGGGTTTTGTCTTCCTTTTTGGGTATCGTTTATGACACAAAGAATCAGAATATAATCTTACTGGGCTCAACCAGAAAAAAACGCTACTCACATGCACTGTCTTTGGGTGCTGGTGGGAAGAGGAGGTGAGAAGCGCCAGTCGAGGGGCAGATGTATGTAGAAGAAACTGATGTCAGAGGACTTACCACGTAGACAAGACACACAAACACGGGTACATACTTACATATATGTGCATAACAATACACATGTATGTATACGTATACTCATATACAAACACCATTTTAGAGCAGTGTCGCAGCTGCCTGGGTGCCCCGTAAGTGTATTTAGGCCCCAGCGCTGGGGTTGCTTTCCGCTGATACTAAACATGCCCCTTCCTCAGAATCTTTGAGGTGACGGGCTGTGCAAAGTTTAGAGGAATGGGGTTCGCATGTGTAAATTTTGGATTCCTGCCCCCTGCGTGTAGGCACTCCACGAGGTTGTTCTATGTATCCTTCGTTGCATCTAGCACGCGATTCAGGCTGCTGTGGCTAAGAATTGCGGCCGCGTATAGCAAGTAATTAGAGAGGACTTTCTATGTCAGCAGCCGTATGAGAAACATGAGACTTATCAGCCGCCTGTGTAAGACATTGCAGTCTGAGACAATAGAATAGAACCATATATAGTATTCTATAGTAGTTTCCATGTTCTTTTCCATTATCCCTATATAACCCCAATATACTATGGTAATATTCATAGTACGGAAGAATAGTATGAGCCGAAAACACAATGTTCCAGGCCTGCGACATGTTCTGCTCACCTGGATGGGGCCTCGGTTTCATCATGCTGCCTCACAGGCTGAGCTGCGAAGCATTTGGCATTTTTTTGTGTGTGTTTTTGCTATGCGTGCATTGTGACTTCGCACCATGTTACGTGAGTTATATATCGTGTGATGCCACCGCATTTCTAATTCTCGACGATGTCTCTGCCGCAGCCGAGAGTTCGACAAGCCTTCCCGCGAGTCTTGCTCCTTGCCACATCCAGTCATGAACGTGCGGCGTATCTTGCTCGTAGTGCTTCTTGCACAGCCAGTGGCAGGGGGATGGTTTAGCGGGCGGAGGCGGCGAAGGGAATACACAGTCTGTGATGACGTCCCAGAAAGAGTGACTGAGGATTCCACTCAGTGTGTCCCTGTTACTCTGGAGCGAACTGTTTGGAGGAATGTGACCAAGTTCAAGAAAGGATTCAGAACTGTCGCCAAATATGTGCCGGCCAAGAGGCTGGTGAACCGCACGCAGACAGTCGAGTTGTTCCTTCCCATTGAGTCGTTCCTCACAGCTGCGAAAATGCAAATTCTCAAGGAAACGCAGGAGCACACGCAAGCGTTACACTTTTCTGCAGTTTTCGTGTCTATCTCAGAAGCACAAGTTGAAAGTTAGAAGTAATGGCACGTCTGATGTAGTTAGAAGCTTTCCGCATGGCCAATGGCTAGGAGTCTCTTCGCCATCCTGGAGCTAGCAATCATCAAGAGGCCTCTCATGTCAACTTCAACGGTTCCTCAGACGGCCTCGAGGCAGTTGTGCTGTGGGGGCCTTCTCAGGCAGGCAAATCCACCATGGTCTGCCAGCTCAAGAACTCCGGTGAGGACGCGTGCACAGAGGTGGGCGATGGTAGCGGAGAATCCGTAACTGCTACGCCTTCGGTTTGGGAGACGCTCATTGGACTGGTCTTGGATGTCCCAGGGTTGGGTGATACAATGCTCCGTTTCACTTGGGAAGAGGTGGGCGTATGGGTGGCAACAGCCCTTGCTTCCGCAAATGTGCAGCGTGTGAAGTTCCTGGTGTTTGACAGCTTCGGCAATGATGCCTTGCCCTTGCGCGAGACCTTGTCTTCACTTTTCGCATCCTTCGGCTCTCATGTGAGGCGAGGAACCATCATCATGGGATCCAAGGTTAATTTGAAGCCAAATGGAAGCAAAAGGACTGAGCTGATCCGACAAGTCATGCATGATCAACAGCTTGCGGAGCTCGTGCTTTGGAAGGGCCCAGACACTTGGCTTGAACATGGCTTAGCACAAGCTTCAAAAGGATTCCGCAAGCCCCGGCCCGACGGTTCTCGTTAAAATCTAAAACAAGCTGCCTTGGACGCCCACTGCTTCAAGGACCTGCGAGCGGCCCTTGCCCGCACACCAAGCGTCCCTATCGCCGCCCTGGAGGTCCTTTGGGAGCTGCAGCGAGAGCGAGCTCAGGAGCTTCATGACAAGCAGCCACCCCAATGGAAGGAGGTGACCGTTGAGGTTGAGGAGGACTACCTCGAGAATCGCAGCGTGGAGGAGCCCTACGAAATCTCCTACACCGAAAATGAGCCCTACAACGAGAAGTACACCGAAAGTCAATGCAGCACTGTCCCTGGGACCGTCGTCATGTCAAAGAAGTGCCGTGCTGTACAGGTCTAAACGTTCCGAGTCACTTCACAAGTTTGCCAGTGATGCGCGGTGGTACCCCCCTGGCCACACTTCAGATGTAGATATGTCAGCCCACGCTTTCCACGCAGTGCCATGTTGTACCTGCCTGGTAGGCAAGAATCATGAGCATGGTACCAAAAGATCGAGCTGGATCGTCTTAGGAACATGTGATTTTGAACGGCGATGCTCAGCGGCCGGAACAAAATACACGCACGGCTATCCTGTGACAGTCGAGCTGCGCAAGTTCTCCTGTCATCTGAAGGCGTGGTGTGGAATTTCTTGAGCTGGCCACTACATAAGGTAGAAGGTCCGGGGTCAGCGTGAGGGTAGAAGTGCTACACCACTCTGCGGAGAGTGATCTTTGAGATATGGTTCAGATTGCAAGTGGAACAGACATGTTCCAGGAAGTCGTCGAGTGTCTTAGCATGAGGGGAATACTTGGCTCGGCCGCATCTCAATATCCCGCTAAATCCTAAACCCTAAACCCTGTCCGTATGTTGAATCCAGTGCCTGGCTTTGATGGTAGTTTTAGTGAGAGTATTTGGCGTTCTTCATCAACTGGGTAGGATCTGCAGTGTGTCCTTCGGAAACAAAATATATGAGTCTTACTGTAGTAAAAGCCTACACAATCGCTGCGCCGAACACCCTAGCATGTTTGGAGTGTGGCACATGCACCCACAAAACCCCAGGATCGCCGCGCTCCTTTGTGTGGGCAGCCGAGCAGGGCGGCGTGGGGGTCGAGGGGTTTTCGGTTTGCTGGGTTTCGGGGTCGTTCTAGATCTTGGCATGAATCTGTTGAGGGGCGGGGGTTTGAAGGGCTTCGGACTTCGCAGGTTGATGGGTTTTGGGTCCGGAAGTGGACGGCTTAGGGCTATGGGAGATCCATTTTCAGTTAGATCATCAATCAAGGGATCCTGTGCTGGGCATGATGGAGGGTTGTCATCGACTGAGGTCGTGTATGACTAATTCACCGTCTCCAAAGAGAATTGAAATATCCTGCTTGGGACATCTTTCCGGGTTGTGCGAGGCACCCCGCTCACGTAGCAAACCTGCTGGATCTGGACCGCTACCTGAACTGAACATCTGAGGGCACTATTGGCTCTTTCAGGGGCTGTGCATGGAAGCAGGGTCATGTTTCTTTGCTGCTTTTGGCTGCTCGCAAGAACCCAAGCACCAAGTACTAAGAGGCCAGTTATTGGCGTCTGTGTCGAGGGGGAAGGGTTGATAGTGATGCTTAAGACTAACTTTCTAAGCATAGTCAACCAACAGCCTCCACTTCTGCATGTCCGCAGGCACGATTCCACTCTTCATACTTTGGACACAAACAGCTTCTCGAACCTTAGAGACCCCGCCAGACTCGAAAGTAAAAACGCCAGAGGCCACCTGAGGCTACTCTTACTCGCAACCCTCTCCTCCGGCTCATTTTTGCATATGTATGTTGGTTTACTCTCCTCAACTCTACTTCTAATCAAGCATCCTGAGCCCCTGCAGGAATGCATAGTCATATATATATATAGATATATCTATATATATATCCATATATATATATGAATGCACGTATATATATATATATACATATGCACGTATAGGAGTGTATGTTGTTGACTTCTATACCAAACAGCAAGCGTTCTCTCAGTCGAGCCTAGGTGCTGCCTACGGCGTTCGTAGCAGCACCTCATGCTGTGCAGAGACATCCACGCATCAGCCTCAATAGGATGTCAAACGTGACTAAAATACTGGTAGTTTGCTGGATATATAGGGTTTGGGGACAAGGGATATAGCGATATAGTTTGCCGAAGTATGGTTATATAGGGCTTAGGGAGAAGGGATATAGTACCCAATAATGGAGAATCCAGTGGAAAGTGTGCGTATATAGCAGTTTCCATCAGGGGCGACCCCGATATAGACCCCCCAGTACTACAATCCTCAGTATGGGTAACCCCATAAGGGTACCCACATTTTTGGGAAACCCCCGAAAGGGGTTGTATAATAGCCCCACACCAGATGATGATGTCCTGGTGTGCCGCGAAGTGCACACCGTGGGGTTTTAGAGCGAAAGCAGTAAGAGGAGAACAAAACGACAACGAACACGATAAGGTCCGATGAGGCCCAAAAACTTGGAAAAACGATAAGAGGAAAACACAAGGATAACAACTGTTCGGGTCAAGCAAAAACAGGAACGGGATTTTTCAACCCCTAGTGGTCCAAAGCTTTTAATGACAAGCCAATAGCGCGCAATCGAGTTACACCCTAAGCCCTAAATGGTAGCTTCCATGTTCTTGTCCAGTATCCCAATATATCCATTATCCCTATACAAACCCTGTATGATTTTGGGGAGCAGTATTTCGGGGTTCAGGGACGCAAGGTTTGGCTAGGACGAACGGGTCGGTCGGTGCTCAGTATTTGACTGCCTTGGAATCAGGTTTAGGATTCAGGATTGAAGGTTTAGGGCTTATAGGCTTAGGGTTTATAGTGGTTAGGGCTTTATTGTTCTTGTTTGACACCTGACACCGGGAAGCAAGACGCTCACCAATCTCCAAAGACCATGAGACCAGGCAGCAATTAAATGATAACTTCCACACACCGTTACCTCATCCTCTGAAAGTTGCCATTCCAGTAGTAAGAATACTACTACTACTACTACTTAAATTATAGCAATCATAGTACCATTCAAAATAGTATTAGCATGGTAATCAGATATTTGGCCCAGGGTGAGGGTTTGGGGGGACCCCGAGTCCGAGCTGGTCAGGCACAGCTCTGCAGGCTGTGGCCATGGAGACTCCAACAGAGATCCAGGCATGACATGATCTCTAACTACCAAAATAAGTGGGCTTTAGGGTACCTAAAGCCCCAATATCTGGATTGGACCCTTGGGGGGAGCTTCTTCCAGGATCCAATAAGTAGGAGCAGTTAAGGTTGGGAAGGTCTCGCCACAAATTACGTTTCCCTTCTTGCCGGTAGATTTTTTTCGTTGCTGCAATTATTTCCGGACGTGGGGCGATGCTACTTTTAGAATATATGCACTTTGCTTTGATGGCTTGGTTCCGGACATGAGTATTTCCAGAAAGCATGGGTCCTCCTTCCACACCTTCAAACTTTGTCATCCCCATGTCAGGTACCTCCAAAACGGGACCTTGATTGTTTGCCCTGACATGGGCGGGCAAGTTTCATTTGTCATGTTGCCAAAGCGTCCCTACCTGGGATTGTCAAGACAAGTGTCCTTCACTTTCTCTATGCCAGGTCTCCACTTAAGGCAGGCTCATTGTCTTATTTCCCCCAAAAGGCTCGCAGGGGCCATTGAGGCTTCCGGCCTTGATGGGATACCCAGCCCTCAAAAGACTAGTGTCATTTTGAACAGGGGGCTTTGTGGGGTTCCGTGTCACTTTGAGCGCACTTGCCTTTGAGCGAAGTTGCCTCCATGGGAGACTCAAGGCTGATCAGTTTAGTTGGTTGCTCCACCTGAAAAGGTAGCAGCAAAACTAACACTCCAAAAACCAAAAGTGAGACCCACAAAGTGAGATACTCCCACATCATATCAGTTCTTGCGCCGGCAGGCACGACAGCCAGAGGGTGAAGGCTGGAGCCCTGCAAGATCGAGTGTAAGGGTTTAGGGTTTAGGGTTCAGGGTTTAGGGTTCAGGGTTTAGAGTTTAGGGTTTAGGGTTTAGGGCCAGTAGAGCACCTGCCCCGCTGAATTTGCAAAATACGTCGGCGTCCGCTTCAGTCTGTCCCTGAGGAAGCCCCAGAAGTACCTGAGTCGTGTAAAACTTTGGGACATGATGTACACTTGGCCCCCAGGTTACCACATACGCGGCTAAGTTTCTTTTAGTTTTTGAGCATCATGCATCTGTCATGCCAATCGCGGTGTTACTGATGTCTTTGCAAGGCTTGGTGTAAGAGTACTACCTGCGCTGGAGGGGAATGTGCTCCTGCGCAGCAAAACAGAATGTGCGCACTTGCAGATACCTTCGCCTATGGGGCTGTCAGACAGAGGACACACGAACCTCAAGGTACCACCGCAAAAGCCGCTGATTAAATAATTACATGCTACACTTCAGACGGCCTTATGGCACCGCATGGATCGCCAACCACCCGCCCCCAAGGACGAATGTTCACTGAGCATGGGACGTTCAGCGGAATTTTGGGGAATAGTCAGAGGGGGCCTGTTGATGAAGGCAAAGTCTTCCAAGCGATCTTCACGAGAGGCGAGCAAGGATTGTGAGCAACTCCGCAGTCTTGGAAAGCTGACTCTTTCGGAAAAACAAGCCTCGGATAACGTTTAAGTTTAGGAGTTGTGAGACCATTTCGAAGTTTCGCCGACTTCTGGTACCGTCGCTCCGGCACGACCACAAGGCCCTTTTCCCTGACCCAGATCGCAAACTCTTCAAATCCCGAAGATTTGACAGCCCAAAGCGTAAACCTCAAAGCCTCAATGCAAAGCCGCTAAGCCCTGCATCCCAAAAACCGTCAGCTCTTACCTCAGCAGTTGGAAGTCTAAGCCCTCAAGCTCCAACGACAGGGCAGCTGCAGAAACAGCTGCGAAAACGCCAGACTCCCAGAGCTCATCACATCCACATCATACTTTGCATCCTGATTACGTAGTAAGCCCCACGAGCAGTACGCATGAAGGGAGAGCCATGCAGAGAAGACTGTACCCAG